CCCCACAAGCACGGCAACAGTGTACCCGGGCAAAGAGCACTGCAACCAAAAGGCCGCAGGCGGGAAGCCACGGGCCCCGCCCCCGCAATCGTCGACGGCGGTTCACCGCAGACCAGGAGGTGCCACTGGGGTCTCCCCGCGCCCAGGCCGCACCTCTTGGCCGAGGTGGCAGGGCGCTGAAAGTCCTGGCCTGACAGCTGCAATGGCGACAGCGGCGGCAGCAGGGCGGGGAGTGGGGGAGAGGGTCACTTTACGGCCCAAGAGCGCCAACAACGCCCACCCCGAAAATTAACCCAGGGCCGTGCCGCGACTCCCAAACGAGGAAAGGGCGACGGACACGACGACGAACCGAGACACGAAAGACGATAACGAACGACCACGAACCTCAGAGGGGGAAGTTGCCGCCCTCCGCCCGTTCCTTATCGCACCCGCGAGCGGGCGGGATAAGGAGCGTGACATCATCGGACCCACACCGCATTCAGGCGGTGCCACACGGAGCCCAGGCTGCACCGCGTATCCGCGGCGGTCAGGCATTTGAATATTGCCCTCGTTCTCGCGAGTTTCACCTTCCTGCCCCTTCCGCTGAAAATGCTAGTTCGGCGCGTGCTGTGGGCCCCAGCCACCTCCCCCGTAGTAAAGGCGGCGTTTGTTGCGTGGCGAAGGACGGCCGACTGGCCGTTGCCTTGTCCTCTGCCGCCGCCGCCGCAACCGCCACTGCCTCGCCGTGGCGTCCAGGACATATGCCGCCCGGCTAGACAGTGACGCGTGGGACGCGGCAGCTGGCTCGGCTGAGAACCGTCGTACGCACAGCGTTGAATGATGATTCCGGCCATGACCAGAACGTGGGAGACGAACGTTGCGTGTACACCTTGTAATATGTCGCCCTATCCCCGTAACACCCCCGCACATTCCGATGCGCGGCGTGATATGTTTCGCAACACACGAGATATCCATAGAGATGGCCAGTCGAGACGTTCCTTCTATATTCGGCAACCACGTCCACTGTGATCGGTTCCCCTTTCGGCAGACCCCCGTGCAACTTGCTGAAAACACAACGCGTTCGAGGAGGAGAGAGCATAGGGAGTCGTAGGATAGGTGATATGGTGCTGTGCTGTAGTGCGGGTACTTTGCGTACTTGGGTTGATCAGACAATCATCTCGCAAAATATGCATTGTTTGCGAAAGGCCGGATCTCGTAGACGTCGCCCTTGGTAACGAAGACTGTATGAAGGTGCATCATAGGTAAGTTTGTCCCCTCACTGGTAACCCCCACGTCATTCGGCCAAAGCTGTTTAACCTTCTGTAAGACAGTTCGGACACAGTACTCTTGACCACACCAACCTGTCGTCAGAGTAGAGTAAGCCCTGCCACTCCGCATCGATAGAGAACTCTGGGAAGGCACCCCCCAAAGCTTGAGCTGCTTAGTTGTCGTTGTACAGATGGTGTATGTGTTCCCCCAGCTCGCACAATGTGACTGGTTCCGACAGGGATCCCCCCATCGGCCAGCCCAAGATCTTCTCGAAGACAGTCGATCCGACCACGCGCCATCCGTCGCGAGCACCACATCGAATTTCCCTTCGATGATCATCAAAACTGACAATCAAATGAGACTGCTTGGGTTTGTCGCCTGGTTTGCATCGGTATCCGTCTGCCTTGCTTGCGTTTGGTGTCGCAATCACATCCGCGCCCTTGCGACCAGCAACGCGCTTGAGGAGAGCGTCTGCCGAGGCGACTCCCCGAGCCACCGAAGCATCCTTGAAAAATTGTGATGCGTCGGCGTTGGCCCAAGATATGTCCGGATTGGCCTGGCCACAGATTCACTGTCGTAGACATTGCGGCCAGAATGGTAATTTGTTCGTTTGTTGCCTGATGATGTCCAGGAAGTCGTTGCTCTTCCAAAATGTCCACATGTTGTCCGCTCCCATGTTTTGACCAGACCCGGACCGCGAACAGCGGCCAGGTCGTTGGAGATGATCTCTCGCTCGTATACTTGTGTTCGCTCGCACGTAAGCTGTCCCGTGGTGTGGTCGTCGAATTTCCCCTTGATTGTGAGATAAGCACGCGGTAGGTGTTGCACCGTGGTTGGTTGGTGCAACACCTACTGAGTTCTCCTCCTCCTCCTCGTCCTCCTCGTTTTCCACCTCCTTTTCCTGTTCCTCCTCTTCCTGATATCTCTATTTCTCTGTTATGTTCTGTTCTGTTGCGCAGCTCAAGAAACCAAAGTTTCAGCTGTTTGTGCCCTGTAAAAACGAAGATAGCAGGGCATCGACCTCAAGCGATGCTTGCTCTAGGGCAATCGCTTCTGCTTTGAACGCTGTGCACGGCAAGTCTAGCAACAAACCTCCAGCCACTACTGGCTCATATATCCATGCTGCCGATTTGATTCCCCAGAGGCCGATGATCCAAGCAGCGGCTGCACAGTCTCCGTCTCTGAGGCCGCCGTCTATCTGGACAACAACCTTCGCGTTCTCAGGCGGCAGGGTCGCGCGATACCGTCGTACCCAAGATCTCCGGATGTCCATCGTCAAATCTGCAAGGCCGTCCGCCACCTTGTTGTGCTCCCGCGGCATCCACTGTACCGGGTCGCCGTGCACCCGCGCAGGGGCCCATCCCATGCTCGTATGGTTTACGAGTCGCCCCAGCACTCGAGATAACAATGGCTCGAAATACGCATCCCTATTTCTCCTCCTCCTCCTCCTCCTCCTCTTTCTGCTCCTCCTCCTCCTCCTCATTCATTCCTTTTCCTTGTCCGCCGATCCGGCGTGTGAGTTTGACAAAGCCTTCGCAAGAGCTTCAGCTCTGATTGGGGGGTGGTGCTGAGGTGGCTCTGCCGGGGAAAGGGGGAAGGGGGGGGTACGCGGGGGGGACGCGCGACCTCCGTTTTCCAATTTTGTTCTTACTGATTATTATTATTATCATTATTATTATGATTATTATTATTAATAATAATAATATCATTATTATGATTATTATTATTACTAGTATTATTAGCATTGTTATTATTATTATTATCATCATTATTATTTTTGTTAGTATTAATAGTATTATTAACATTGTTATTATGATTACTAGTATTATTATTATGATTAATATTAGTAGTACTAGTATTGTTATTATTAGTAATATCATTATGATTATTACTATTACTATTAGTATTAGTAGTAGTAGTATGATTATTATTATTAATGATATTATGATTTGCATTAGTAATTGTATTATTAGTTTTACCATTAGTAATATTTTTATTTTCATTATTACTACTACTACTACTACTACTACTACTACTACTATCATTAGTATTAGTAGTATTATTACTATTATTAATATTATTATGATTAGTATTATTATTAGTATGATTATGGCTCTTATTATTATTAGTACAGTTACTATTAACATCATCATCCTCATTATTATTACTAGTATCACTATTAGCATCATTAGTATTATCAGTAGTAATACTACGATTTTTATTATTATTATTATCATTATTATCATTAGCATTATCATTATTATTATCATTATTATTAGTCTCATTATTGATAATATTACTATGAATGATATTGTTACGATTATTATTATTAGTAGTATTATTAGTAGTATTACTATTAATATGATTATGAATAATATTATTCGTAGTATTACCATTATCATGATTACTATTCACCTTCTAAGGTCCCAAGGACCCTGGGACTCTCCCGTTGGGTCTTTCCCAGAACCCTCCCCTCGGGACCCCCCCCCCGGCACTCCTCGGGACTCCCCAAGGGCTCCCCCCTCTGGACCTCTCCGGGCACTCTCCTCGGGACCCGTCCCCTCGGGACTCTCCCCGACCCCCCTCCTGGACAGTTCCAGGCCCTTCCCCAGGAACCCCCCAGGACTCTGCCCAGACCCTCTCGCGGACCTTTCCAGGATTCGCTCCTGACCCCCTCGGGGGCCCTTCCAAACACCTCCTCCCGAACGTCGTCGTCCTCGCCGTCGTCGTCATCGTCGTCATCGTCGTCGTCATTGCCTTCGTCGTCGACGTCGTCACCGTCCACCGAATCCGGAACGTCCCGGATCGGCGGCACTGGCTGGAGGCCACTGCAATAATTAATTCCTCCCTGTCGCACCCCGAGAACGGTCGGAAGCTGGCAGAACGTTTCGTTTGAGACGTTTTTGCCATGTGTGACCCTCAACATTAAAATGGAAGTGGTTTCACAAATGGAGAGCGGGTCGGTTTCAAAATGTGGTTCTCGCCTTAGCGCCACTCACATTCGTTCTTACCAACAGTTTCACGGATGGAGGGCGGGCCGTTTCCAACATGTTGTTTTCGCCTTGGCGCCGCGCACTTCCGTTATACAAAAAACTGCCAGAGCTTCACGGATTGAAGGGAGAGTCGTCTTCAAAATGCGGTTCTCGCTTTAGCGCCGCGCACATTCGTTTCACAAAAAAATGTCACTGCTTCCCGGATTGAGGGTGGAGTATTCTCAAAATGTGGTTCTCGCCTTAGCGCCGCGCACACTTGTTGCACAATTGCCAGAGCTTCACGAATTGAGGCCACCTCTTTTCAGAAAGTGGTTCTCGCCTTAGCGCCGCGCGCACTATTGTTAAACATTTACGACAGTTTCACGGATTTCTATGGCCAGCGTGCAAGACATGGTGATTGGAACGACTCACGGTTGTGAGGGCGCAACAATTAGGCTGATTCGCGGTATTGTAGTCCCAGAAATAATGTTCTGGCACGACTCTGGATCGCTAAGGCGCAACAATCAGGTTGATTCGTGGTGTTGGAATCCCGAAACTGGCGCGCTGGTACGCTTCAGGGTCTTTGGACGGCTCTCTTCCAACGAGGCAATTCCCGCAATAGAAATAAACAAACCTTTTCTAGCGTCCCATAAAGAGGGAGCTGAGAGGGAGGGTTCATTCCGACATCGTTGACGAGTCTTGGGTTTACACTGGTCATCCTCCTCCTCCTCGTTTTCCACCTCCTCCTCCTCTTCCTCCTCCTCCTCCTCGTCCTCCGGCGCACGCCTCATCGCCGACCATGATCTCGAAGGGCAGGATACCGTCGGCGGCCGGATCGCCGCGCTCGAAGGCGTAAGCGATGCTGCCCGCCACGCCACCGCCGACCAGGCCGATCCTCGGCCGACAGACGGGGCGCTGGGGGCGCGCAAACATGGATTAGCGGCGCGCAAACATGGATTAGCGATCCATGGATTTGGAGCGCGGTCGCCAAATCCATGGATCGCTGAACCCCAAAAAGCAAGCCACGGGCAGTGCAACGTCCGTAACCCGTGGCGCCTGGCCGAACGCTCAGCGAGCCTGGCCATACAGCGTTCGCCGCACCGATGAAGCGCGTAGCGTTGAGGAGGAATTCGCACGCCGCGCGTGCACGGCTCTGCTGGTTCAATCAAATGGGGGGAACACTTAAACCTCTGCCTCCGCCAGCGACTCTGCCACAAGCTCATCAGACCCCTGAGGCTCCAAACCTACGGAACTATAGTATGCGGCGCCCTTTCGGCCGTCCATGGGGTAAATAAATTAAATGAAATACAACATGCGGCGCCCTCGGGCCTTCTCCCCAAACGTTCCCAAGGCATTCCAAGTTCCCAGGCACTCCCGAAATCCCAAATCACCCCCAGTGTTCCCAGGCGCTCCCCGCCACGCAGGCGCTGCCGCAGCCATGCCCGCGCATCGTAGCGAGGGGTCGCCAGACCCACCCCCTCGCGCTCCCCATCCAGCCACGCGAAGGTCGCGCCGAAGGCGGCTGCGTGGATAATCCAATCGCTTCAGCGGGGGCGACACCCACGGCCAAGCCCAACGGCGAGAGCGAATGTTACAACCGTGCGCATCGCCGTCAGCCGCAGACTTCCGCGCCCCCGTGGACTTCCGCGCCCGCGGCAGCCCCGCGGCGCAACTCAAAGCCGAAGGCCGCGACGAGCAGCTCGGGAAGGCGAGCTCGCGCGCCTGCAAAGAGCGCATCGCGCGCGTGCTCAACGCACATGCGAACCGCCAAGGCCGCTCTGGCCTGCGCGCAACCGCGCGCTCGCCTGCGCGCTGGACACGACAGCCCCCTTCGATAGGGGGGCTGGGGGGTAGAAACCCAGCGGGGTGGTCCGGGGCGGGAATGCAAAATTCGGAGCGCGCGCGGCCTGGGCAGCGATCCCCCCCACCACTCTCGGCGAGGGGGGGATCGCAGCCAGCGCGCGCTCTCTCTCCCATGCAGGCCCTGGGCCCTAAACCCTAAACGCCCATGGTCCGTTAATAATTCAAATGCAAAACAGAAAAGTGGCCCGCCCTCCCCGCCCTGGGGGGGTAATTCCTAGACCCCAATTCCACGCGAGCACGCGCGCAGATTCTGCCTCTCCCGCGCGGCGGCTACTTCCCAAACCCCCTATCCCACGCGCGCCCGCTCGAGGATCGCACCCCTCCCGCTCAAGGATCGCGCCCCTCCCGCGCGGCGGCTAATTCCGGGCCCCCCATTCCATTCGCGCCCGCTCGAGGGTCGCGCCCCTGCCGTTCGAGGATCGCGCCCGATCTCGCGCGGCGGCTCATTCCTAAACCCCCACCCCACGCGCGCCCGCTTGAGGATCGCGCCCCTCCCGCTCAAAGATCGCGTCCCTCCCGCGCGGCGGCTAGTTCCTAACCCCCCATTCCTCGCGTGCCCGCTCGAGGATCGCGCCCCTGCCGTTCGAGGATCGCGCCCGATCCCGCGCGGCGGCTTATCCCTAAACCTCGATCCCCACGCGTGCCCGCTCGAGGATCGCGCCCCTCCCGCTGGAGTATCGCGGCCCTCCCGCATGGCGGCTAAGTCCTAAACCCATATCCTGTGCGTGCCCGCTCGAGGATGGCGCGAATTCCACGTGGGCGCGCTCGAGGATTGTCGCGATAGCCGACATAGAGTGCACTCTGATTGCATGCCTTCATATGTAATGTGTACTCAGGGTGGGTGCGATGTGAGCACCGCGGCAGTGTGAGCAGCGTCGAGTGCGTTGCGACGCCCGTGCAAATTAACCCTGAACCCTAAACCCTACCCCCCACATGGATCCGCGCCGCATTTCGGGGAGGTACCCTCCCCAAAATGCGGCCGGCGCCGGCTCATTCGGCGGCGGAAGTCCGCTATTTCCCACGGACGCGGGTCGCGAATCCACGCCCCCTGGATCCACGTTTGCGATCGCCTGAGGGCGGGAGGCCTCTCTGCCGCCACCTGCGCCCGCTTCCCTCGAGCAGCTCGCGGGGGGCCCTCGTTCAAATCAGTCACCGCATCTCCCAACCCTTCGGGCGCACAGTGGAGGCCAGTCCACAAGATATCGGCCACGAGAAACCAAATCTGGAGACCCCAGGACGTCCATTGATTTTTGGCGTGGGAACGTCACGCCCTCCATAGCAAAACCATTGAAACCCGAGAAACCCAGGGCACCCTGGAGGCAAGCAGGGTGTTTCTTGGCATGGGCCCCCACTGCAAGTGGTTTAGCAAGTTCTTTTCACATCCTCGTTCCAAGACCGTCTTCCCTTCAGAGGAGGGGCGCCCTCCCCCCGCCCCCCGGGGTTTCTCGGGGGGCTCGCGGGCGCCCAAGCTGGCCCAAGATGGCTCCAAGAAGGCGCCCGATGATCCAAAATGGGCCCCAGGAAGGCTCTCAAGGTAGCCAAAGATGGTTGGAAATGGCGTCCGACATGGCTCCAAAAGGCTCCAAGAGAACCGCAAGACGGCTCCAAGTGCTCCTGGAGCACCCCTCAGGACTTCCCCAAGAGGCCACGACTCGTCAAAAACCTTGAAGAACTCAATGATGTATGCCGCATCATTGAGTGGCGATGCCTCGAGGTGGCCACAAGAGAGGCCCAAAAAGGCCAAAAGACGGCCCCGAGACTGCTGAAGAGCACCCCAAGGGCGCCCCTAGAGGCGATTCTGATGGCCCCACTGGAGGGAGGCAAATTGAGAACCCCCCCTTTTATGATCGACGCCCTCCAAGATGGCCCCATGAGGCCATCCAAGGCTCCCGAGAGGCCCCTAAGAGGGCTCCAAGACAGCCCCAAGACACCCCAAGACCCTGCATCATAAACCCAAGAGGCCCCCAAGAGGGCCGCGAGAGAGCCCCAAGAGGGCCCTAAGCGGACCCCAGAAGATCCCAAGACGGCTGCCAGAGTCTTCGTCGTCTTCCTCATCCTCCTCCTTCTCCTCCTCCTCCTCGTCCTCCTCCTCCTCCCCATCCTCCTCGTCCTCCTCCTCCTTCTCCTCCTCCTCGTCCTCCTCCCCCTCCTCCTCGGTTTCGTCATCTTCCTTATTGCCCTCCTCTTTCTCCTCGCCCTCATCCTTCACCTCATTCCCCAACTCCTCCTCCTCCTCCTCCTCCTCCTCCTCCTCCTCCTCCGCCTCCTCCTCCTCCTCCTCCTCCTAATCCTCGTCCTCCTCTTCCTTCTCTTCCTCCTCCTCCTCCTCCTCCTCGTCCTCTTCCTCCTTCTCGTCCTCCTCGTCATCCGCCTCGTCCTCCTCCTCGTTCTCGTACTCGTCCTGGGTCTGATCAGGCTGACGAAGCTGATCCAATGATTACTCTGTCCTGATCCAGGCAAACCGCACCAGTATCGCTCCTGGATGGACTGCTGGGGATATTTGGTGGTACACGGGCGCGCGAAGCGAGTCAAACGGCGTACAAGCAGGGGCACGCCGTGCCACGAGCTAAGGGAAAAACATAACGATGAGCAGCGTTGAGCACAGAGCGGGACGGAGCTGGGCTGCTGGGGATACTTTTTTGGTCAACGGCCTCGTGAAACGGGTCAAAAGGCGTTCAAACTCTAGCCGGGCCACGACTAGGGAAACTGCTGGGATACTTTTTGGTTCGCGGCTCCAAGGCGGATGACAGGGAGCAAACACAGCGTCCGGGGCGAACACACATGACTAGGGAAACTGCTGGGATACGCGAAGCGTCCAAAAAGTGTATGTGTGGTTGTGTGTACGTGTGTGCACATGTGAATCTGAAACAGATGTATAATATGTTCGTGTTTGTGTGTTAGCCAGCGTGGACCCCAAGCAGTGTTGTGTTGCACTGTGGAGGGGAAAGCTCTGCGGTGTATGCTGTGTGGTGAAAGCTATATCGTGTAAGCTGTGTAGTGAAAACTATGTCGTGTAAGCTGTCTGGTGTGAGCTACGGAGGTGAAAGCTGTGTGGTGCAAACTATGCCGTGCAACCTATGCGGTGCAAACAGGAGGTGAAAGCGATGCGGTGCAAGCTATGTGATGCAATATGTGTGGTGCAAGCTATGTGGTGCAAGCCACGTTGTGCAATCTGTGTGGTGAAAGCTGTGTCGTGCATGCTCAGAACGCGTGGCGCTCTCGAGGCGCGCACGAGGTGGCAGCGAGGCGGCAACGAAGCGGCACCAACTGGGCACCAGCCGAAACCTTTACACACCCACCTGGCGCACGAGGCGGCAGCGAGGCGGCACCAGCCTGATACGAGCCGAAACCCTGACACGCCCACCTGGAGCACGAGGCGGCAACGAGGCAGCAACGAGGCGGCACCAGAGGGCACCAACCGAAACCCCGACACGCCCACCCAGCACACGGGGCGGCAACGAGAGGGCAACCGGGCAGCGCCGGCGTGGGCACCAGCCGAACCCCCGACACACTCGCACGGCGCACGGGGCGGCAACGAGGCGTCGCGCCAACCGGACAGCAACCCGAATCCCCGACACGCGCACGTGATGCTGTAGATGCCCAGGTAAGAGCCCCGAAGTGCAAGCACTGATTGGAGAATGCGTCCACCATACACACATCTATATATGTATACACACATATACGAGCATGTGTATATATAGATATATATATATATACACATGCATGTACATGTACAGATAAAACTCTCCATAGATTGCTCTCCCTTTCTCTCTCTCTCTCTCTCGCTACTGTACATCGCGCGCGCTGCCCGCGAGTTCAAGTTCTAGCTGGTTTGGGCGTCTGGGCATACGGCGAAAACACATGCCGCAACAGAGAATACACAACCGCACTGTGGACATGACGTATTAGGGTATTCACGGGGACTTGGTACATGGCCCCTGGCTTCATTCAGGGAAGCCGTGAAGCTACTTCCGCCAAAAAGTTGGCGACACCCAAAGTTGTCAGCCAACCACGACGGCCTAAGGGCACGAGATTGTGCTCATGATCGAAGGGTCACCTTGGCGCACTCCTGCGACCCCTTGCAAGGCAAAAAGGGGCGAGGACCAGCAGAGAGACGAAACATCCACCGACACCGCTTGTCGAAGGCGAGACGGCATACAGGCTGATTGAATATCTCCCTCCCCCGTCCCCCCTTCCCAGAGGGCCCAAATCCCGACAGAGGGGGAGGGTGCGAGTTTGTCAACGCCCCTCTGGGGCCCTCACCTCCAAATCTACACCCGTAGCATCCAAGATGCCCAAGGTGACTTCTAAGACGGGTCAAGAAAGGCCCAAATACGCCGAAATGGCTGCAATAACATCCGAAATGGCCGCTAGACGGTCTGAGAGGTCCACAGGACGAAGAAAGCCCCAAGGAAACCCCCAAGAGGGCCTAAGAAGGCAAAAGTCAATGCTGTACTGAAAAGCCCCCCACGCACCGACCCAAGACTGCCCAATAGGCCCCCAAGAGCCCGGAGACGGCCGACGAGGGACCCAAGACTGCCAAGGAGGCCCCAAAAACAACAGCGGAAAAGAAATGTCCTGGCAAAGGATCCAACCACGTGCAGTTGTGAATACATCGACGTGGGTACCACATTAGGTGAAGCTCCCTGCGGGGCCACGGAACGCGTAAGGGGCATGCTGAAATGGGCGGGGGAACTGCGGACTGTGCCGCTGGGGCCTTCGGTCGAACCCGGTGCGGGGCCACGGAAAGTGTGAGGGGTGTGCGGGAATTGGTAGGGAACCGCATGCGGACACTGTCGCTGGGGCCTTCGATGGAACTTCCTGTGGGGCCGTGAAACGTGTGAGCGGTGTGCCGAAATTGCTGGGGAGCCGTACGCAAACTGCACCACAAGGGCCTTCGGTGGAGCTTCTTAAAGGGCCGCGAAAAGTGTGAGGAGTGTCCCGAGATGAATGCGACGCCACCATGCGAACTGCGCCACTGTAGTCTTGGGTGGAGCTCCCTGTGGGCTACGAAACGTGTGAGAGGTTGTCAGAATGGGTGAGGGACTGCCTGTGGACATTGCCCCTGGGGCCTTCGGTGAAGCTCCCTGTGGGGCCGCGAAACGTGTGAGGTCTGAGCCGAAATTGGATGGGAACCGCACGTGGACCCTGCTACTGGGGCCTTCGGTGGAACTCCCTATGGGGCCACGAAAAATGTAAGGGGTGTGCCGGCATGGCTGGGGAACCGCATGTGGACTGTGCCACTGGGGACCTATGGGGCCACGAAACATGTGAGGGCTGAGCCGAAATTGGATGGGAACCACACGTGGACCCTCCTGCTGGGGCCTGCAGTGGAGCTCCCGATGTGGCCAGGTGAGGGGTGTGCCGAAATCCGACGACCCCAGAGGCGTGTGCGACATTCCTTGTGCACAGATTACTCCTATGCAAAAAGGATCTTTCACCCATGCCTTCACCAGGTCCCCACCTCTTCCGTTCCCTCTACGCCTGACCCCCTCCCCCACCATGCTTCCATCACGTCCGCACCACGTTCACCACGTCTGACACCGCCAACCTCCAGGAACCTCTGCTGAACCTTCCCTCATTGCTTCCACCACGCCTCCACCCACCCACCCTGCAAAATTTCGTCAGGGGCACCCCCTCCTTGCCTCCACCACGCGTCCACCACGCCCCCACCACGTCTGACATCGCCAGCCTCCAGGAACCTCTGAGCCGAGGTTCTTGGGGCGCCACCCACCCTGCAAAATTTCGTCCAGGACCCCCCCTCCCTGCCTCCACCACGCCTCCTCCACGGCTCCACCACGCCTCCACCACGCCGCCACCACGTCTGACACCGCCAGCCTCCAGGAACCTCTGAGCCTAAGTTATTGGGGGCCACCCACCCTGCAAGATTTCGTCTGGGACCCCCCTCCCTGCCTCCACCACGCCTCCACCACGCCCCCACCACGTCTGACAGCGCCAGCCGCCAGGAACCTCTGAGCCGAAGTTTTTGGGGGCCACCCACCCTGCAAAATTTCGTCCGGGACCCCCCCCTGCCCCCACCACGGCCCCAACCACACCTCCACGACGTCTGACACCGCCAGCCTCCAGGAATCTCTGAGCCGAGGTTTTTGGGGGCCACCCACCCTGCAAAATTTTATCCGGGACCCCTCCTCCCTGCCTCCACACGCTTCCACCACTCCCCCACCACGCCTCTACCACGCCCCCACCACGTCTGACACCGCCAGTCTCCAGGAACCTCTGAGCCGAGGTTTTTGGGGGCCACCCACCCTGCAAAATTTCGTCCGGGACCACCCCTCCCTGCCTCCACCACGCCTCCACCACGCCCCCACCACGCCTCCACCACGCCCCCACCACGTCTGACACCGCCAGTCTCCAGGAACCTCTGAGCCTAGGTTTTTGGGGGCCACCCACCCTGCAAAATTCCGTCCAGGACCCCTGTGGAAAAGACAAGTGTCTGTTGTTCCAACCGCCCTAGCTCTTGCTCGGTATTCTGGTTCCCGTTGGCCTTTACGTTGGCCTCGCTCGTTATGGCTTGTTGCTCGGTCTCCTGGACCTCCGTGTAGTACTGGGTTCTAGTTCTGACTTGCTCCCCGGCCCGTTTGGTCCGAGGTCGCCACTTGGCCTTTTTTCCCATGCACCGGCACGTGGATCACAGAAGATACTGGCAGTTCAACCTGGTTAGGCTACAAACCCGTTTGGGCTTGAGCCAAAGTTGCATCGGAACGGAGAGCAGTGTCAAACACTTTTGTCTAACAGCTCGGTTCCCCTTCACGCTCTACATTATGCGCAAGTGTGCACACGTCTTCTATCCCACTTAGTGGGATAACTGGTTTCTGCAAGATCCTATACACACGCGCCGTGGTGAGCCGCCCGAAGGCGCCACCAGCCCGGCGGAAATCGGTCCGACAAGTCGGCTTGGGCACAGAGACGCAACACTCCCCAGAGCACTCGCAACCGAGGCGCGCCGCGGTGAGCGCCGAATGGCGCCACCAGGCCGGCGGCCACGAGGCAGAAGTGGGACGATCACGGCACCCCGGAACCAGCACACGGCAAGGCCACAGCCTGGGGCCCGCACTGCCGCGGTGAGCCGCCAGAAGGCGCCACCAGACCGGCAAGTGCAAGACCTTTGTGCACAGAAGTGCATCCCGAATTATTGAGACAAGTAAAAACTGCCCGAATTTCCGCCCCGAGTCACATACACAGTTTCGACTCCGGGCACACTGAGGCGGACAAATCGCGCCCCCCCCTTGAGGCCTGAGGGCGGCAACAGGGGGGAAAAAACACAACATGTTATCACACCTGCTATACGTGCGTACAATCACTCACTCTGACTCGAATTCTGATATGTCAGAAACAAGGATGCCGCCACACAGTGTCTCAGCCTGATGTGTCAGAAACAAGGATGCCGCCACACAGTGTCTCTGCCTGATGTGTCAGAAACAACGATGCCGCCACACAGTGTCTCTGCCTGATGTGTCAGAAACAAGGATGCTGCCACACAGTGTCTCTCCCCTGCCGGCACGAGCGGCGTTCGCAATGGGATCTCATCCACACACCCCTCGCCGAGCGACTGCTGGCACCGCTGCCGCAGAAGTCAAGCCTGTGGCATCATGTGGATCATCTCCAGCGCTGCTCGGAACTTCGGGCCATTCAGGACCTTGGTGAAGAGGTCGGCCTTCATCTGCAAGGTGGGGCAGTGCTCTATGCTCAGCTGGAGGTCCCGGTCGTTCAACATCTCGTGCAGCATGCCGACGCAGACGCGCTGCGTGCGCGGCAGGTGGCGCAGCCGCTTCGAATATCCTTTGGTCACGGCTTGGATCGTCTGCATGTTGTCGACCCTGCACGCTATCCCAATCCTGCAGGGGAGGACCTCGTCCAGGAGCATCTGGATCGGTATGGCCTCGCGCCGCACGACATGGGAGAATGCGACTGTCTCAGTCTCCGCGGTGGATCCTCCAGTAGACGACTGCTGCGAACATCCCCAAGACAATGGGAAGCTACGGCCAGAGGCCGGCGAGAACAGCTCAATCCACCATCCGGTCACGGACTTGCTGGTCATCGGGTCGCCGTTCCAATCGGCGTCAGAGTACGTCAGCAGCAACAGATCGTCCACGTCGGCCGGGGCAAGCGTGCCCTTGAGGACGTGCGTGGAGGTGCAAGCAGCATACGTCATGACACGGATGAGCGCTAGGTCGTGGACAGTGGTCCAGCGCGACACTCCGCTACACAGACGCTGCGTGGCTGCAGCCAGGTCGGGCCGCCCAACACGGCACAAGAAGAGAGACGAGGCAGAGTGCGACGCCGCGACGTCTGCAAACCTCCCTGCCTCCTCGGAGTCCTGCGCCCAGGACTCGGCTGAGATGTACGGCGTGTCCACGGGCCTGGTGATCCTGAGGCCGGCGTCGGTGCAGAAGCGCTCTACCATCGCCCTGGTGTAATCGATCATCGACGTCGTGACTGTGCGAGGCGCATCGGGGAGCTTCGGATCGAAAGGGTCGAGAGCGTAGTACGCACCAATGAACTTGTTCACCGGCGCCGGCTCGTCCTTGAACTCGATGCTCTTGCACAGCGCCTCCCAGTGGGCGTCGGCCTTGCACCCCAGAGCCGCCAGGAGCAGGTCGTCGACGTAGACGGTCAGCATGCCCCCGTCGGCATGGACGAACACGCCCGGCCAAGAGGGCACCGAATGCCATCCGAGTCCGAGCAATACCTGGGTGAGCTTCTTCTCCCACAGGGCTCCTGCTTCCGGGTGCCCGTACAAGGCTAGGAGGAGCAGGCACACGGGCCGAACGTATAGTGGCTTGCTCCTGTCACCCCCCTCGAACCACGAGTCGGGCCACCACTCCCTGGGTATCTCAACCCACGTCTCGATCCTGCCGTCCACGTTGATGCGAGCCTGGAGGTAGGCTTGCAGCGCGTCCCGCACCGTGATGCTGAGGCGCTTCAGGATAGCAACCGCCATGGTGCACCGAATGGCGACGAAAGACGCCGGGCTGTTGCTCACCTCCTCGTACAAGTTCACCGCCGCCGTCCCCGTTTTACTTCTGATATTCGATCCCTGGAACACTGCACGAAATTTCATCCTCCTATCCTCCTCATGCTCCGTTTCGGCGTTGGTCTCGCCCAAGATCCCGAAGATGCGGCCCGTCATGACCTCGGCCTTCGAGTTGTCGCGCATGAGGTCCTGGCATCCCAGGTTTTCCGGGTACGGTGCCCAGAGAGCTCCTTGTCTATGGCAGCCCGTGCCTTGGCCGACTTTGCTTCCTCCGACTTCAGCGGGACCTTCCGGGTGACCAGCACGGACCACTTAGGCGTCTTCCTGCCGACGTCGTTCTGCGCGGTGTCGTCGTGGTCGGCGTGGCCCCCGGCGATGGGCAAGATGGACTGCCAGATCAGACGTGCGAGCTCCTGGGAGCATGGCCCTCGGAGGTCCACACTTTCGTCGCGACAGCCGTCGATCGACTCCAGCGGCATCTCCGGCACCTGGGCGTGCGGCTCGAGCAACTTAAGGAGCCCCGCGCTGTTCGTGAACACGCGCAGGAGGTCGTTCGTGCGGCGCTTGATGGGGTCTTCGCTCTGGCCCTCCACGGCAGACTCGCTGAGGCTAGCCATCGAGACGTCACGAGGATCAGATCCAGCGTACTCTAGCAGCTGCCGCACGTCGGTGCGCAACCACACGGAGGACGTCGGCGGCCACCCCCAGTAGATGTAGCCCCCCTGCTTGACGACGCGGCGGCAAAGGCCAACAGCGACCACAACAGGGCGGTCTGGGAGTTCGCCTGGCGTGCGCACCGTGCTGACCCAGACGTGCAGCGGAATGCCAAGCTGGCTGCAAGCCCGGACGATGCCGTGCAGCGCCCTGATGGTCTCCTTCCTGCACAGCTCGTCGCCCTCCGTGACTCTGACGGTCAGGGCGTGCTGCGGCATGAGCTCCGCGATATTCGAATCCTCCTCCGTAGATATATCCACCACAACAACCTTGAACTGCCCGCTCTGCATTTTCGTGCGAGCGGTCCGCAAGATGTCGCCCTGCAGTCCAGATTGGCTCAGACGCGTGGCCACCGCGCCGGCCGTCGCAGCAGCAGGAACATCTTGAACTTGCGCGGCCTCGTTCTCGGGCGTCGCGCTCGGCCGATCCCTGCCCACGTACATGAGCTGGGCCACAGCCGGTACTTCAGGAGCCGGGGGTCCACGAGCGTCCTCGCGTGCAGCGTCCACGGCACTTGCCGGGAGGCTCCCCCTGGTCCGCTTGGCATGTTCATATGCCGCCTTCCGAGCTTCTTGAGCGGCGAAGCCCACGGGATCCTTCTCCTTCCACTCCTGGCGCAACTTCTCCTGGTGAGATTTCTTGAACATGAGCCATGCCTCGGGGAGGACCGTGGGCGGCCTCCGGCTCCAGGGCGGAACCGAAATCGTCCTCGCATGGTGCCCGTGCGGGAAGGTGTCAATCCTCCAGCCCTTGGGCGCACGATTCCCCTCAACCTCCAACTCCGCACGGCCGAGCTCGGCAGGCTCGTCCTTAGGCTCGTGTTCGGTGGCGGCCTGCTCGCCGCCGTTCCTCTCGACCACCTCCTCCTCTGGCTCCGGGTCGCCCGCCGCCTGCGAGTCCTCGGGGTCCAGCACGACGGACTCGACGAAGTTGCCGGGCTCCAGCTTCGGGGCGTTCTCCTCCATGGCCCCGTCGTAGGCCTCGTCGCCCGGCTCCTCGCTCACCTCGGACAGCTGCAACGCCCACGACTCGTTGTCGTCAGTCACTGCTGGCGCTGGGAAGCTCGCATCCTTGGATGCTCCGGCGAGCTTGAGGCGCTGGCGGATGGGGAATATGATGCGGTCTGGGAAGTCGACCTCCGCGGAGTACCTGATGCCTGCTCGGGACGGCCGGTCGCTGTTGAGGAGGTGCTCTAGCTTGACGACGCCGTACGTCCGGTTCCACGCGAAGCCTGGCCCGCAGCCGATGCCGACCAGCACATGCGGCACCATCCTGGGGCTCCATTTCGAAGGTTTGGCCCCGGCGCGCCGGGCAGCAGCGACGAATACTAGCGCTCCGAACGGGTACTGCTCGTACTCGGCGGACGTCGTGTAGCGGCGCTCGTACGGAGTGAACCCGTCCGCCCCCCTGCAGTGGCCGTTATACTGCATGCACCAATAACAGATCGCACACACCCACCACGACGCCGGAAAGGCGGCCATGAGGAGCAAAGCCCGGGCCCCCTCGACCACAGTGCGGTTGAATCGCTCGATGACTCCGTTGCTCTGCGGCGCACGTGGGATGCTCCGATAGTGCGCGAACGGCCGCATCCTGCGGATCCTGCGGCTCGCAGCCGCAAGTTCGGGGGCATTGTCGCTCCACCAGCGGCGGATCTCAGGCACAACGTTGTCGAAGGTGTGGTGGGCCTCGACGATGGTGTCGGCGTCCCTGGAGCTCGCCGGAAAGACTCCGGCGAACTTCGCACGCTCGTCGAGCATGTTCAAGCTGTACTTCGCCGATCGGGCGGCCTCCGAGCCCGGCTGCATGACGATGTGGTCCAAGTGCACGCACGCGCCGAACGGCCTCTCGTCCGCGTCGGCGCAGCGAACGCACACGCCGCTGACCGGGCGTCGCCGCGAAGGCCACTTGGCGTGCTTGCCTCCCCGGCACCCGGGACAGTACTTCGGCATGGCCGGCTGGTGCAACGTGAGGTGCTCCTTCGTGAGGCGCGACGTGTCGCAGGGCAGCACGATGTCGTCGACGGAGTCCTCAAGCTGGATCCGGTGGAAGATTTTGTCGTCCTGCATCAGGTCGCCGTCGTAGCTCGTGATGCCTCCCTCCAGCACCCGGGCAACGTGCCTAGCAGCGTCGTCTTGCCCAGGTTCCACGGTCTCGTCAACAATGCCGATCTGCGAGATCTCCTCCCCGCCCTCCTGCTCCACGTCCTTCTCGTCCTCCTCGTGCTCGTCCTCCTCCTGATCCACGTCGTCGTCTTGGGGCGGATCCGCCTCCAGAGGCAGGACGTCGTCGATCAGCGCGTCGTCGTCGACCACAGCGACGTTGACCAGCAGCCGCTCGCCTGCAGATGGGTCCCTGCGGGGCTTGGGCTGCGACTCGACGTACGGCACGAAATCGGGGTCGACCTTCACGTCGACGCGCCGGCCATCAGGCCGGAAAACGTCCGGAGCAGGAGCGAAAGGCTTCCAGGTGAACTCGAAGCCCAACTGGGCACAGCGGCGCCCAACTGTCAGCACTCGGACCGTCTCGTCCGCATCCTCCAGCACGGTTGCCTCCACGTCCTCGCCGATCTCGCTGAGGTGCGCGACGACGGCGCGATCGCAGTGGACGTTGCCTCCGCCGGTCTCGACCGCGACCTGGTCGTGGAGATCCTTGTGAGCCCCCTGGAGGCCCTTCCCCGAGGCGTCGAAGCTGGCCGCGGTGCCCAACACCCACTTATCGGAGGTCCCCCACAGGCTCTCCGACGAGCAGAGGTGCAGCTTCTTGCCGCCGCCCTTGCCCTTCTGCTTGGCGTCAGCCTCGCGCTTCGCCTTCAAGACCGCCGCGAGGTCCCGCTTGTCGCCGTCGCCGTGCTTGTAGATGCACTTGTCCCCGTGGGAACACTTGCCGTCGGCGAAAAACTTGCACCTGTCGCCGGGCTGCCGCCCGAGGGTGACCGCGGCCCCTGCTGGCCAGGCCGCGGTAGGCGCGTGAACGCTGTCCTTCCAGTGGACGTGCTTGCAATTGTCGCCGAGAACTTGCAACTCCCGGACCTCCAAAATCCGCAGGCGACCTGTGGGTGCTCAGGTACAAGCTTGGCTGGCTCCCTGGCCGCGGCCTTGGCCTTCCCCTTCGGGGTCGCCTGCCTGACCTGCTTCACCTGCTTCGGCGTCGGGGTCAGGGCGTCGACGGTTTTGTTCTGCGTAGCTCTCGCGCACGCCCTCCTGGCCGAATCATGCAAGAACTCCAGCGTCTTCTCCGGGGCGTCGTCGAGGGCGCGGTCGAACTGAGCAAACTCGAAAGCGAGGTCTGGAACCTTCCGGAGCTCAGGCTCGACGATCGCGAGTAGCAGCGCCTCGTCCGGCTCGACTGTCATTAGGGCGAGCCTGGCGTCCAGGGCGCCCAAATACACCTCGAGATCCCCATTGTACTTCAAGGCGTTGAGCGCCGCGAGGTGGACGCGGTGCGCCTTGCCGTGGTCGAGCTCAAAGCGCCGGAGGATCATGTAGAGGACCGCCCTGCCGGACGCGGGCGCGCCGAGGCGCGCGTTCTTCTCCTGGTAGAGCGTCAGCTGGCGGTCTATGGCGCCGGAAGCGCCGGACTTCAGCGCAGAGCAGAGCTCCGCGTCGAAGAGGTCCCATTTCTTGGGGATGTACTCGACGTCCTCGACGCGGCCGGCCTCGAACGCGCTCTTCACGTACTTCATCGCCCTGACCTTTGAGCGATTCGAAACACGGCAACACTCTGTCATCAAAGCGTTGGTCCACTTCCGGAGACCAGCTGCGCTCGTGAGGGGGTCGATCTTCATCTCCTTCACCGTCGTGCGGCGGCGCATGAAGGCCTCGTCCTCGTCCTCGCTGTCGCTGCTGGCAATGCAGTGCTGCGCTGGCGGGCTCGCCCCGATGCCTGAACTTGGCACGGTGCCCTGCGACGCTGCTGACGGCATCGCCGGTGCGGCGGCCAGCGGAGCTGTTGCCGTAGGGTCTACGCGACTACGATTCGCCGCGTCCCCGATACGGAATCCCGAAGACGTCAACGGGTTGACGACTCTCTTGGCGAGCGGGGGCAGCATGGTGATCGGCGCACGCGGCGGTGGCGCCGGCGTCATCCCGACGTGCTGCGCGGATCTCTGAGCCACAGCCAGCTCCCGCCTGACCTCGGCCACCTTCCGCATCTCACTTTCCGCCAGTGCCTCTGTCCTCGTTGCCCTGGCGGTCGCCTCCGCGCAGCGCTGGAAGGCGTCGCTGATCTCGTTCCCCAACTTCTGGATGTACTCATTGGCCTCCGTGCTGAACACCTCAGAGTACCTGTTGCTCTCCTGAAGCTGCTCGTGGGTGGAGTCGCTCTGCCATCGCCACACCGCCGCCTCCTCGGACTCCTCGTGGACATGCTCTCGCAGCATGTCGATCCGCTCCTCGAAGACAGACTGCTCGTCGAGGAACAGCTTCTCCCGCGCCTCCACAGCGATCTGCTGGCGGGCCGTGGCGACGCCTGCACGCGGGCGGCCTCAGCCGCGCGGGTGTGGGCGCGCAGCTCCAGCACGTCATTGCGCCCTTCGAGGTGGACGCACTCGTTTCGCAAGCCCTCCTCGGTCAAGCGCACGCGGCGCTCGGCGTTCGCCTCGAGCTCGCGGAACCTCGCGGCGACCTGCCGCTCGACCCCTTCCTCGGTCAAGAGGAATTGTTGCTGTTGTACGCCGAGTTCACCGTGAAGCTCTGCTCGGCAGCGGTCGCGGCATTCTTCCGCAATGCCCTCGACCACCTGCCTCCATCGAACATCCTGGTTCTGGGCCGCCTCGTGCTCTACGATCTCGACGCGCTGGCGGAGCTCCGCGAAGAGCTGCTGGTCCCTTAGCCGTTCGCGCTCTTGCGCCTCGGCCCGGATCGCCTGCATCTCGTGTCTCGCGCTGTGCTCCGCCGCCTGAATTGCCTCGTCCCTCACGCTGCTCTCGACAACCGCCTCGGCTGCGTAACGCTCTCGCAGTCGTCGTGCAACTGTCTCCTCTGCCTCCCAACGACTGCGTCTTGCTTCCACTTCGAACTCCTCCATCCTCTCGTGGATCCTCTCCTCGTCGACGTTCTCGATGATCCTGCTCAGCTCCCGGGCGAAGTCGGCGCTCAAGTCGGCCGCCTCGTCCGCGATCGGGATGTGGGGGGACCGGCTACGGTCCGCTGCTCCCTGCTGCTCCTGACGGCCCGGACTCGGCGGACCAGCCACCGGGTCCATCCCCGGCGGGCCTGCCAGTGGAATCAACGTTGGTCGATACGCCATTGTGGTTGAAAGCAAGGCTCTTAACTGTGGAAAAGACAAGTGTCTGTTGTTCCAACCGCCCTAGCTCTTGCTCGGTATTCTGGTTCCCGTTGGCCTCTACGTTGGCCTCGCTCGTTATGGTTTGTTGCTCGGTCCCCTGGACCTCCGTGTAGTACTGGGTTCTAGCTCTGACTTGCTCCCCGGCCCGTTTGGTCCGAGGTCGCCACTTGGCCTTTTTTCCCATGCACCGGCACGTGGATCACAGAAGATACTGGCAGTTCAACCTGGTTAGGCTACAAACCCGTTTGGGCTTGAGCCAAAGTTGCATCGGAACGGAGAGCAGTGTCAAACACTTTTGTCTAACAGCTCGGTTCCCCTTCACGCTCTACATTATGCGCAAGTGTGCACACGTCTTCTATCCCACTTAGTGGGATAACTGGTTTCTGCAAGATCCTATACACACGCGCCGTGGTGAGCCGCCCGAAGGCGCCACCAGCCCGGCGGAAATCGGTCCGACAAGTCGGCTTGGGCACAGAGACGCAACACTCCCCAGAGCACTCGCAACCGAGGCGCGCCGCGGTGAGCGCCGAATGGCGCCACCAGGCCGGCGGCCACGAGGCAGAAGTGGGACGATCACGGCACCCCGGAACCAGCACACGGCAAGGCCACAGCCTGGGGCCCGCACTGCCGCGGTGAGCCGCCAGAAGGCGCCACCAGACCGGCAAGTGCAAGACCTTTGTGCACAGAAGTGCATCCCGAATTATTGAGACAAGTAATAACTGCCCGAATTTCCGCCCCGAGTCACATACACAGTTTCGACTCCGGGCACACTGAGGCGGACAAATCGTGCCCCCCCCCTTGAGGCCTGAGGGCGGCAACAGGGGGGAAAAAACACAACATGTTATCACACCTGCTATACATGCGTACAATCACTCACTCTGACTCTATTCTGATATGTCAGAAACAAGGATGCCGCCACACAGTGTCTCAGCCTGATGTGTCAGAAACAAGGATGCCGCCACACAGTGTCTCTGCCTGATGTGTCAGAAACAACGATGCCGCCACACAGTGTCTCTGCCTGATGTGTCAGAAACAAGGATGCTGCCACACAGTGTCTCTCCCCTGCCGGCACGAGCGGCGGCGTTCGCAATGGGATCTCATCCACAGACCCCCCCTGCCTCCACCACGCCTTCACCACGGCCCCACCACGCCTCCACCACGCCCCCACCACGTCTGACACCGCCAGCCCCCAGGAACCTCTGAGCCGAGGTTCTTGGGGGCCACCCACCCTTCAAAATTTCGTCCGAGACCCCCCCTCCCTGCCTCCACCACGCCTCTACCACGGCTCCACCACGCCTCCACCACGCCCCCACCAGGAACCTCTGAGCCTAGGTTCTGTAGGAACCTGATAAATTTCGTCCGGGACCCCTCTCCCTGCCTCCAGCACGCACCCACCACGCCTCCACCACGCCCCCACCACGTCTGACACTGCCAGCCTGCAGGAACCTCTGAGCCTAGGTTTTTAAAAGGGCACCAACCCTGCAAAATTTCGTCCAGGACCCCCCCTCCCTGCCACCACCACGCCCCCACCAAGTCTGACACCGCCAGCCTCCAGGAACCTCTGGGGCTAGGCTCTTGGGGGCCACCCACCCTGCAAAATTGCGTCCGGGACCCCCCTCCCTGCCTCCAACACGGCCCCACCACACCTCCACCACGCCCCCGCCACGTCTGACACTGCCTTCCTCCAGGGACCTCTGAGCCTAGAGTCTTGGAGGCCACCCACCCTGCAAAATTCCGACCGGGACCCCCACTCCCTGCCTCTACCACGGCCCCACCACGCCCCACCACGTCTGACACCGCCAACCTCCAGGAACCTCTGGGCCTAGGTTCTTGGGGGCCCCCTGCAAAAATTCGTGTCAGAAAAAAAAGGCAGCACCAAGGACCCAAGAGAAACCCAAGAGGGGGAACCAGTGGGGCCCCAGGAACCTCCCCCGCAAGCTGGAATCGATGACCCTCAACACACACACACACACACACACCAGAGGCCGTGCGCATTGAACGTCTAGTGACCACTTAGGGTCAACGAGAACGCACCCAAACTCCAAAAATGCGAACGCCGTTCCCACCATGGACTCGAAAAGCGGCAAAGATAGTATGCAATAGCAACGCTGATAAATGCGATGAACTTCGGGGATGGTCAGACCTCCCTTTAGTAAAACGTGGTTTAGTGAAAACGACCTCGGGCCCAAACCTGGCGGGCGCAAGCCTGCAAAATGACGGCCGCGGCGCCCTCTCGAGAACCGAAAACGGACCATTCACTAATCGACGTGTCAGGGTAGGAGGTCTGTCCAACCCCGAGAACTAAAGATGCCGAGGTATACTTCCAGTCGGCCGTTCCATCAAACGCCAGATCGTTCAACAACGGTATTCTGGGCCACGGGCGGCGCTCGACCCGAAACGCACGAGCCGGGGTCGCCGCCAGTCGACATGACGCGAACCTGCCGTATACAGTATGAAATCTATCATTAAGTCGGGCGTGGCCCCCTACAGGGGGATTTTGGGGCGAAACTTAAGAAATACTCACAAAAAAAATACCCCCAAAAAATGCCCAAAAATAGTCAAACAATCGCCCCCTGACTATTTGTTGACTGACTTGGAACACTCCCCCGGGAGAGGGACACGCCCGACTTCACGCTGACACGTGCGAGGAACTGAGGAAGCCGAGGCAGACTTCCCATCGGCCAGAGGTCCCGCAGTGCGTGACGGCGCCCACGCTGGACCCGATGGCGCCGCCCGCCACGAGGCCCACGGGTATGGAGAGGCCGAGCGTCAGGGGCGCAGTGACCACGCCTGCTGAGGTCTCCAGAACGGGCAGGTCCTCTGGGCTTCTTGACAAGCGCGGGGGGGGGTACCCCCCCGACGGGGGTCAGCCTCGCCACGTCGTCGCGCAGCGCCGGGGTCGGAGCGCACTCGGCGCGCGGTGGCCACCCGCGACGGGGGTCGATGTGGGGCCGTCGGCGGGGGTGACGCCCCCCCAACGCTTATTAAGAAACTCAGAGTAGACAAATGGAGTTCGGGGATGTGGAGCAGCAACAAGGGGAGCAGAAGAGGAAGCGAGAAGATGGGGCGCTCGAAGGAGGTGGAAAGTAGAGGAGGCATGGTGAGGCGAGAAGGGCTTGGCCAGAGAGCAGGGCTGGAGAGACGGGTGGCCCAGACGCCTTTCCACTCATTCCCCCTTCTTTTCCACGCCCCCCTCCTGACCCATCCTCCTCCGCTACAGTAGGGGCCCGACCACAAGAAACCTTACACAAGAAACCCAATCCTGAGACCCCGGGACATCCATTGATTTGTGATGTGGGAAAGTCACGCTTTCCATCGCAAAACCATCGAAACCACAGAAACCCAGGGCACCCTGGAGGCAAGCAGGGTGTTTCTTGGCATGGGCCTCCACTGTATGAATAACTCCTCCCTGTCGTACACCCACACGTGTCGTCAGGGCGGGCCCGGCGCATCGCCTGACACACTTCCTCCCTGCTTACGACATCTCGATGACCATTCACTGCCAACCACACGGGTGGAGGTGGGTGGTTATGCGATTGGGTTCTTGCCTTGGCGCCGCGCACACTGGTTCCAAAAATTACACGGATGGTGGGAGATGGTTCTCACAGCGGGGTTCTCGGCCCGGCGCCGCAAGCACCTCTTAGATCTTAGCCGGGCGAAGCGCCCGGCCATATGCAGTTGCGAACATCGTCGTTATGAGCATCGCCTCCGGTGGAGCTCCGTGTAGGGACACCAGACGCATGAGGGGTGTGCCGACGTGGGTGGGGCTGCCGCTTGCGAACATGGTTACTGCGGCCTTCGGTGGAGCTCCCTCAGGGGCCACGAGACGCGCGAGTGGTGTGCCGAAATGGGAGGGGCGGGCGCATGTGAACATGGCCACTGGGGCCTGCGTGGTGCTCCGAAGCTCCCTGTGGCGCCGCGAGACTTGCGAGGGGTGTGCCGAAAATGGGCGGGGGGTCGCATCCCCGTGCGCCACTGGGACCCTTCAGTGGAGCTCCTTCTGGGACCACGAAACGCGTGAGGCGTGCCAACATGGGCGGGGTGGACGCATGCGGGCTGCGCCACTCGGACCTTCGGTGAAGCCCCCATACGGGGCCACAAAACGTGTGAGGGGGACGTGTGGACTCATGCGGGCTGCACTACTGGACCCTTCGGTAGAACTCCCTCTAGGGCCAAGAAACGTGTGAGGGGTGCGCCGGCATGAATGGGGCGGACGCATGCGGGCTGCGCAACTGGGTCCTTCGGTGGAGCTCCCTGTGGGGCCACGAAACGTGTGAGGGGTGCGCCGAAATGGGTAGCGGGAACGCATGCGGACTGCGCCACTGGGACCTTCGGAGGAAGCCCCTGTGAGCCACGAAACGTGTGAGGGGTGTGCCGACATGGACGGCGGGACCGCATGCGGGCTGCGCCACTGGGACCTCGGGGTGTCGTGGCACTCAAGAGCAGAGTTGAGGGCAAAGCGTACAGATCGACAAGTAGAGAGCGGAGCTGGGCAGAGAAAATCCCAACGGCTATCAGGGCGTGAGAAGTTTGGAGCTTTTTCCTCCTCCGGTTCCCCCTTCCCCTTCCCTTGCCTGCCTCCTCCCCCTGGGTCTGGAGGGGGAGAGTCGCGACTGATTGGATCGTCCAAACGGGCCTCGGCGAGAAGGCAGAAATAATTGGTCAAGTTGGGTTTGGGACCCCTTTTTGGTGCACCCCCTACTTTGGTCGATCTCCTCCAAGATGGCCCCAAGATGACCCCAAGATGGCCCCCAACGGTCCCAAGAGTACCCCAAGAGGGCCACAAGAGGCGCCCAGTAGGCCCCGAGAGGCTCCCAAGAGATCCCCAAGAGGCCACAAGGGACCGCCAAAAGGCCACCATGACGTCCCAAGACGACGCCAAGACGACGCCAAGAAGCTTTCAAGAGACATCCGAAGAGCCTCCGAGAAACATCCAAGAGGCCTCTGGCCACTCTGCTCGCCCTCCTACTCCTCCGACAGTTCCTCCTCCTCCCTCCCTGTTCCCTCTCCTCCTCCTCCTCCTCCTCCTCCTCCTCCTCCTCCTCCTCCTCCTCCTCCTCCTCCTGATCTTCTTCTTCTTCATCATCAGCATCATCATCATCAGCAGCAGCATCATCGTCACCAGCATCATCAGCATCATCCACAACATCTGAGCAACACCATCATCAGCAGCATCATCATCAATCAATCAATCAATCAATCAATCAATCAATCAATCAATCAATCAATCAGCATCAGCATCATCAGCATCATCAGCATCATCACCACCACCACCACCATCATCATCATCATCAGCAGCAGCAGCATCATCAGCATCGTCATCATCAATCATCATCATCAGCATCATCTGCATCATCAGCAGCATCATCATCCGCAGCATTAGCATCAGCATCATGATCACCAGAATCATCATCATCAGCATCATCATCATCATCAGCAGCAGCATCATCAGCATCGTCATCATCAATCATCATCAGCATCATCTGCATCATCAGCAGCGTCATCATCCGCAGCATTAGCATCAGCATCATGATCACCATAATCAGCATCATCAGCATCATCATCATCATCAGCAGCAGCAGCATCATCGTCATCAGCATCATGAGTATCATCAACAACATCTGAGCAATATCATCATCAACAACATCATCATCAGCATCATCATCATCATCATCATCATCATCATCCGCAGCATTAGCATCAGCATCATGATCAGCAGAATCATCATCATCATCATCATCATCATCACCATCATCATCATCATCATCATGATCAGCAGCATCATCATCATCAGCAGCATCATCATCATCATCAACATCAGCATCAGCATCCTCATCATCATCATCATCATCATCATCACCATCATCATCGTCACTGTCTTCGCCTTCGTCGTCATGATCCCTCCCTCCTGCTCTGCACTCTCGTCCCCCATCCCCCTGCTCTTCCTCAGCTCCTTTCGGGGCCGTGCAGGCCTGTGCAGGCCCCGAGGGAGGCGCCCACCACCCAGCCGAACGACGCGCCGAGCGCACCCAGCGCCGCTCCACCGCGCCCGCTGGACACAGCGACCGTGGCCAGAAAGCGAGGATCCTGTCAAGGGGGGGGAAGGGAGACAGGAGGAGGGGACAGGAGGAGGAGACAGGAAGAGGAGACAGGAGGAGGAGGAGGAGGAGGAGGAGGAGGAGGAGAACAACGAAGTGAAGGAAGGGAGGAGGAGAAGAGGAGGGGGCGGAGGCGGAAGCGGAGGGGAACTAGGTGGGAAAAGGGTTATGTCCCACTCCCGCACCTCTGCCCCGTTTCCCGCTCCATGCTCGTGTCACCATCCCTCCATTTCCGGGGCAGGGATTTATCCATAACCACAGCCTGGGGGGTCGATCTTGGGGGGGACCTCGGCAGGCGGTGGATATGGATGTATTCGGACACCCCGGGGACAAACCATATCAATACCCACCGCCCGCTGGGGGCCCAGGACATCGGTTCCCCAAGCGGTGGGTATGGATGTCCCAACCTTGAACCATTATCCTCCCTTGGCTTTCGGGTCATACCTTGGCTCTCCAGCAGACATTCGGGACATTTCGGGCACCCCTGGAACGATCTCGGCGAGGCGCAACTGCTGCTGGAAAGCAGCCGAGAACCTACGAAAGCCTCGGAAACCTCGAACCTCGAACCCGAAACCCACCCACCCATCCCCGTCCCAATCGCCCCTCGCCCCCCCCCCCCCCGACCCACCCCCCGAAAAACATCCTGGCGAAGGACCCAACCACATGCAATTGTGAATACCACGAGGCAGGTGCGACGAAGGAGGGGGAGCTCCTTATGGAGCCACGAGACGTGTGAGGGTATGCCGACATAGGCGGAGGGGCACATGTGGACGCCGCCTCCGAGGCCTTCCGTGGAGCTCTCCGGGGGCAGGCCACGAAACGCTTTACTGGGTGGCGCGGACGCATGTAATCACAGCCACTGGGGCCTTCGATGCAGCTCCCTATGGCCACGATATACGTTGTACTGGGTGGCGCAGACACGTGTGATCAGCCACTGGGGCCTTCGGTGGAGCTCCCTATCCGGCAACGAAACGCTGCACTGGGTGTCGCGGACGCATGTGATCACAGCCACTGGGGCCTTCAGTGGAGCTCGCTATGGGGCGATGGACGCTGTTCTGGGTATGCATGCGGGGAGCACAGGCTGGGATGGGAGGAGCCGGAAGAGGAGGCGGAGGAGGAGGAGGAAAAAAAGGAGAAGGAGGAGGAGGAACGCGTGGTGACGTCTCTTCAAAACGAGGACCCAACACCACGAGATGGTTTGGAAAAACGATCGCGAAGCAGCCGCTACCCGTCTTGCACCCCCCCAGCCTGCAGCGCCTCCGCCGTGCGCCCGAGGGCCCTGTGCAGGCGCGCCGGGCGGCGTTCCTTCTCCTGGTTGGCGGGGGCGCTTTGGAGGAAAAGAACGACGACAACGGCTCGGTCCGGTTCGGGCACCGCGGGTGCCTTTCCCACACCAGTGCTGCACTCGACACTGAGGCGTCGTCTACGCGAGAATCGGAAAGTCCTCCTCCTCCTCCTCCTCCTCCTCCTCCTCCTCCTCCTCCTCTCCTCCTCCTCCTCCTCCTCCTCCTCCTCCTCCTCCTCCTCCTCCTCCTCCTCCTCCTCCTCCTCCTCCTCCTCCTCCTCCTATTTCCTCCTCCGTTGGCCGCATCGGTCTTACCAGCAGCCTGGCCCTTCGGGCTCTGCCCGCGCGGCCCCCGCGGGCAGCCCGCCACCCTGGCGCGCCTCTGGGCGGGTGCCCGCAGCTCGGGCGCCAGTAATCGCAGCGTTTCCCCCCCCCCGAAGAGACGGCAACGATGCGAGAGTAGAAGGAGGAGGAGGAGGAGGAGGAGGAGGGGGACGAAGGAGGAGGAAAGAGGAGGAGGAGGAGGAGGAGGAGGGAGGAAGAAATGAGAGGGAACAGGAAGGGTGGAAAGGTCGACGAGAAGCGGGGGGGAGCGCTTCAACATTGGAGCACCCTGCACAAACGGACAACCCAGAGATCCCCACATGTGTGCATCCCACCCCTGGCGGCTTCCCCCTTGGGGTGCCCTGCTCCCCCGCCTGCTATGTCGCGGTGATCATCGGGCTTGCAAGAGAAAAGGAGAGTGAGAAAAACATACTAGCAAACCGCATGAAACCTCCGCACAATCTGGGCGCAAACGGGCGACTATCACTCCCTGGCGGCTCTCCGGTGGGGTGCCCTAATTCCCCGCCTGCTATGTCGTGGAGGTTCTGGGGCTTTCGAAAGAAAGGAGTCTGGGGGTGGGATATTTACAAGAAAGCCGCATGAGCATCCGCATAATCTAGGCGCGAAAGAGTGAGCGTGATATACCCTGGAGGCTCCTCCTTGGGGCACCCAAATGTCCCGCCTGCTATATGGCGGTGGTCACGGGTTTCCGAACGGAGATCGTATGAGTGAGACCACATGTGTGCAAGTTCGATCGTGAGTGTCTTAAAGCGAGCAAATCTATGCGCATGGCTATGCGCGCGTGTATGCCTCAGTGCGAGTATGACTACGCTGGAGCGCGACCAAGTGCGAGAGACCCACTGTGGACGAGTCTGAATATGAGCGGATATGGGTATCAATGAATATGTGTGCGTCTGCGTGTTTCATACGGCTAAACTGAATATGAATGTGCTGTCCATGTGACAACGAATGTGGGAAATTCGCGATATGAGCGACGGCAGGCGGGAAGAGAGGAGGAAGGGACACGGAGGCATCACACGAATACGAAGAGCTAGGATATGGAACGAACGATACTGCGGAGGCTCACAGCACGATACGGTGGAATGCCGAGTTGGGCATAGGGTCTTAAGCATGGCAACATCCTTGCGCTCTCATAAATCAGGCGCTGGCCAGACTGCCGGGCGCCATAGCACTTGCAGCGAACGCAGTCGAAAACGAAAGACGCGCCACTTGCACGATGGCACCCATCAGCGTGAGCTTGGACTGGGCTCGCCAGCGGACGAGCCTGAACGTCCAGAGCTTTCCGTCTGGAGCCTCCTCTTGCTAGGGCGCCGTAAATCGGTGTCATATGCCATATCTAAATATACATAGAGATACGTGCATGGCGGAAATAGTGTACCTGCGAACGACATCGATACCGACGGCCCAGTGAGGGATCCCCAACCGCATGCGCCATGACCTTCGTCAGAGACCCCACCTGTGGGCTACGCGTCAAGGAACCCTCTCTCTCTCTCTCGCTGCACGGCCACATGTGACGTACGAAAACAGGGGCTGGTTGGGGCCAGGAGGAGGAGGAGGAGGAGGAGGAGGAGGGGGAGGGGGAGGGGGAGGAGGAGGGGGAGGAGGAGGAGGAGGAGGGAGGAGGGGGAGGAGGAGGAGGAGGAGGAGGAGGAGGAGGAGGAGGAGGAGCAGGAGGAGGAGGAGGAGGATGGCGAGGTGTCTGGCGGCGAGTCGGCACTGGGCAGCCAGCGAGGTGTCTGGCGGCGAGTCGGCACTGGGCAGCCAGCTGCGCGCCGCCTGGCCGGATAGCATCGGGCCGCAGGCTCGTCGAGGAGATGGGCTGACCGTTCCAGCATCTCGTCGGACAGGGAGGCAGCACGCCGACGCGGCCCGAGGGCAACGGTTGGCCCATCCGCCCCCGCACCCGCCGCCGCTGGCCGCGTCCTGGTGAAGGCGCGGCCAGCCAGGGCTGGCCAAGGCCGTCGTCAAGGCCTTCGCCGCGAAGGCCCTCGAGGACGATGTCTGACTTCACCGCTGTGCCCACGGGGCGCTGCTGCGCCTGGCCACCCTGTGAGGCCCATGCCCGTGCCCATCCCTCGGCAGCGCGAGGCCGCTACTGCGGGCACCAGCCCCAGCCACGTCAAAACATCTTCAGCCTGTGTCCCCTTTGGGCTGCCACGCGCGCATGCAAACTGCATGGAGGCCCATTTCGCTGACATCGGCGGCCATCGATCCTGATCTCAGCCCCACCACTGCTAACACTAATGCCCTCGACGACCCGTGCCCCACGGGCAGGCGATGCGTTCGCACCACGCGGCTGGTCGTTCTGTCGCCACGTTTCGCTGGGTCTGAGTCCTGGTTTCCAATCGGCCCACCAACGCGTGCCGTTCTGAGGAGCAGTAGCAGAAAACCCCGCTAACCGCCTGGATTGGAACGGATGTTGGACGAAGACGAGGAAGGGAAACGGGGGGAGGGGGTAAGAGGAGCAGCAGCGACAAAGAGAACAGAAAGGGAAGGAGTAGTAGCAGCAGCAAGGCGAGGAGACTCTCAGGGCGGCGCTCCTTGCTGGCCGCGAGCCTGCGGAGAACGAGGTCCTCCTGGCTGGCCGTCCGTAAACCCAGGAAGGTTGTTGCAGATTGGCAGCGTGGCAAATGTTGAAACTCTGACATGTTTTCGTGAGATGTGGCGCATCACTGTTGCATTGAGGAGCGGGTCCATACCCCCCCGCCTTCCCCTTGAGGGGGAAGGCGGGGGAAGGAGGGATAGGAGGGGGAGGAACAGGGATAGAAGAGATGGGCGGGATGGGAGGGATAGGAGGGATAGGAGGGATAGTCCAATGTTGCCCAAGAGGAAGAACAGGGACAGGAGGGGGAGGGTCTCTCCCTCCTATCCCTGTCCCTCCACACTGGCAAATTGGGCCAACCCTAGTATGTCTCGCCAGCCGGCCTGGGGCCACCACCCGTCGGGCACAGGGCGCCTCTCGAAGAGGGTCGCAGCGACTGCGCAGCGGTCCAGCCGCTCCACGACGGACTTGGAGCGCCTCTCGGGGAGAGGGATGGAGATAGGCCCCCTAGGAGAGGAGGAAGAGCAGCAGAAACGGGAGCCGCTGGGTCCACCATGGGCCGCCTTCCCACCGCCCTCTCTGCCACAACCTGCGTGGAGCGGGGGAGGAAGCGACGACACCGGCGGGAGGAGGCCAAAGGCAGGATGAGGGACGACGAGGAACGGGGGCACGGAAGACGGACGATGCAGGAAGCAAAGAGAAAGGGGCTGACGGAGGCCAGATTGACGACGGAGGGGGGTGGTATGGAGGCGTGAGGGAACGGAGCGGAAAAATGGAGACAGAAACAAAAAAAAGACCCACGGTGACAAAAAGGGTGTGTAGGAGGAGAAAGAGAAAAGAGGAACCGTCAGTGCAAACCCAAAACGCATTAACTATGTTTCAAATGTTGTTCACAAGCCCGCACAACGATGCACTTCAATTGCGAGAACTGCCCCAGTAGAACACAATCGTAAGGGAAGCCTCAATCGTGCCAGGAAACCACTCCTGGGATTTCAGCGTCGCGAATCAAAGATATTACTGCTGCGTCATGACAATCATCAAATATGCAGAACACCGCCCCTTGGGACTTCGACAATGCGAACCCCTGAAAGTGTCGCAAAGCTTCAACACGGGAGTGCGCGGCGCTCAAGCAAAAAAACATGTTTTTTGGTTCGAACGGTCCGCCCTCCATCCGTGAAAGTGCAGCAAAGTTTCAAGACAAAAGCGGCGCTATGGCAAAAAAACACATTGCGACAACGGGCCGCCCTCCATCCGTGAAACGGCCTGCACATCCCCCCCCCGAAACAACAATAACAACAACAACAACAACAACAACAACAACAACAACAACGACAACAACAACAACAACAACAACCGCAACAACCACAACAACAACAACAACAACAACAACAACAACAACAGCAGCAGCAGCAGCAGCAGCAGCAGCAACAGCAACAGCTAAAAAACGCGCGCGCGCAGCGCTAAAGCGACGGCCACAGATTGAAAACCATCCGCCCTCCATCCGCGAAGCTTTTTTGGGAGAAGGAGAAGAAATCGGACGCGCCAACGACAGCTCACTCCGCGAGCGAGCGCACTGAAAGTAGCGCTTGAGATAGGCGGACTGGCAGAAGTGGAAGCACGGGCAGTTATTTGGAATAGAAAGAAAACCGGGCTAACAACCTCGGGGGCGCGCGCGCTACTTGCCGGTTAATACAGATCGCACAGGGACAAGGACAGAAGGAAGGCGCGGTGGATTTGGGGGCACGGTAGCCTTCGGGACAAACACCTCCTCAATGGATAAACCCCAGATCGCCCATGAAGGCGGCCGAAGTCCCACGCGCAAATGGAAAAAGGGGGGGGGGGGAAAAAAAAAAAAAAAAAAAAAAAAAAAAAAAAAATGACCGTCAGCTATAACCGACGAGACACAGACGAGGCGGGGGACGCGCGGAGCCGCGCGCCTGTTTTGCCTGCGCCGCTCTCGCCAGTCCAAAGGATCGGCGGTCGCTATCCTCTCCTCGCTCCTCGGAGGGAGGAGGGGAGGGCAGGAGCGGGAGGTGGGAGGCCCGGGCAGGGGCCCGAAGGCCCCCGAAGCCCACGCGGGCCTTCCGCTCCGAGTAGGGCGCGCCGGCTACGGATGGTGAAAAACACAACCCGCCTGATAACACTCAACAGGGGGCTCGTAGGAACGCGTTCACTCCAGGACCCCACCCAAGAAAGCGAAAGCGAAAAACTCAGCCCAAAACAGACGCAGAATGTCACGGGCACGGGGGGGACAACAGGAGACGCCCAACCTCCATAGGAGGCGGGGCGGCCATGCTCGACCCCAGTCAAGAGCTGCAGTTCTAGGACTCCATGAAGACGCACGCGACGAAGTCCTCGCGGCCGCAGAACACCCAGTCCTACAAGGACGGAGAGGCGATGCATTTAAATCCATCGCTCCGAGGCGGCGCGAGGGCGTAAGAGGGGGAGAGAAAATGGAGAAAGACATCGACGGCCAGGCGAGCACCAGCTTTTACCGACGGTTAGCGATGGCTTTCACCATCGCAAGCCCACCTGCCACGATCCCAATTACCCGTTGCGCGCCAGTCGCTGCCCCGCCAATCCGCCACCCAAGAGACGGTCGATCCCCCCGCGGGCGCTCGCTCTAGACGCGCGCGCCGCGCGGGCCGGGGCGCGGCAGCAGGAAATCCTGAGCTCGAGGCCGCACCCGCCACTGCAGATGCCGTCTGGAGCCGCGCACCTGCAAGTCATTCCCCGCGCTGCGCCGCCCAAGTCTGCTCTCGCGGACAGGCCAAGTGGTTCGGCGCAGATGGCAAGGAGGACGGCTCCTCCGACGATCGGCCGCCCGCTCCGCGGGGGGGCGGCCATGGCCCCGCGCGATCCGCGGGGCGCGATCCTCGGCGGTCCCGGACGGGCTCCACCTCGAGGGTGCACGTAGACACGTTTGGTCTATGCCAAGCAAACTTAGCACGGGCCCTCGCCGGCGAAAGCGCATCGATAGCTTTCGCCAGCGCCGGGCCGCCCCCGTTGGCCCTAGACGGCGGCGGGGCCCAATCGGGCCGTCGCTCACCAAGGCGCACTGGGCGACGACGCCCTTCCTTCGAGGGGGCGCGGCTGCCGCGGCCGACGAAGCAAACGTCAGAGCTGCACCGCGTCTGCTTTGGGCGGGCGCGTACGAATTTGCCCCCCGCCCTTCGCCCGCGCGGCCGCCCTCCGCCAGACGGCCGCCCCCCCCCCCCCCCCCCCCCCCGAGCCCCGACCCATCGCCGCGCGCGCGATGCGCCGCAGCATCGACGTGCAACGCGGAGCACGGTGCCACGCGTTTGGCAACGCGAGATGGGCGGGGGTGGCGCAATCAACTGCCCTAGCACCACGCGGGTCGACCCTGGCGCACCTCTGTCGGCCCTGAGTAATTCCGACTCCATGTGCACGTTCGAGCACGTCTCCGATTGGATCGACCCCCGCAATCTGTCGCCCCCGCCCCACTGTTCCGGCAGCGAAGTGAAGCCATGCGCTGCGGCACGACGCTTCGCGCCGTTGAACTCCACGAGCGCCTGGCAGCCTGATCTCTGCCCTCGATGGACGAGGTGCCCCCCTTCTCGAGGTTGAGAAACCTGGAACTATAGCCTCGATGGCCCCGCGAAAGATCCCGATCGAAATCACGCAAGTCCACGCCCCCCCTTCGCGGGGGCGAAGCACCCACGTTTGCGCCCCTGTCGCCGAGATCGGCTGGCAGCTTGAATTGGCACCTTAGAAACGCGGGGTCTGCGCGCCGATGAAACATATCCTCTTCGACAACAGTAACTGCCTCAAGGAACCGTTCAACCGCCGCGGGAGCGACGTCGCCCCCGCGTCGCGCGCTCCTACGCACGAGGGGTGCACGCTCCGCTGCCGATGGGGTTCCTGCAGCGCCGTCTGTCCACAGCGAAAGATCGGCGCCGTCATGCAACGGCGGTGGACTGGCACTACCTGGACAGAAACGCCCCGCACCTCGCAGGCGCTCTTTCGATTTACGGATGCCTCTTCACGCTTTCCCTTCGCATCCGAGAACGTCGCCTCGCCCCCGCTTTAGGGGGCGTCCCTTTGATGCTGGCGACATGTGTCGCATCTTCTGAAGCTATCTCGACTGCGTCGGCCTGCGGCGGCGCGGACTCCGCGCGAACGCAAGCTCGACGTCAGAAATTCCCCATGTAACCCGCTCGCCATCGGGGCACGGCCCCTCGGACTCGAGGCGCGCAAAGACATCGTTTCCAGAAGCATCTCTCTCGATGGCCTCCTGCATTTCAAGTGCGAGCATTGCATGCCCCACTGCGAGTCAGGTTGCTCTCCATCAGACTCCAGGGCCGAGTGGGCCTCCTCCACCGTCGCCTCCAGAACGCTCATCGCCGCGAGCTCGCCGCCTGAGCTGGCACCGGCACCTATCAGGCGCGACGACCCAAAGACAGCACCTGGCAGCCAATTCAGGCATGGGCTGAACCTCGGGCAGCTGCGGAACACTCCGTTTGTCGTCGGAGGGGCTGTCTGCAATAAGCTGTGCAAAGATGAAGCGGGAGGCCCTCGCGATAGGACGTGCGTGGCAAGAGCGCCAGGCACTTGCTGATAGCAACATCAACCGCGTTGAATAACGGTTCCTCGCCGCCTGACCGCCCCGTGATGAGCCGCCTAAGTCCCCAAGGAACGGAGCGAATACGCGAGCCCGAATCCCATGTGGACCCACTGGCAAGCAACGCGCGCAGCTTGTCCAGGTCCCCGAGGTGAAGGTCGGCAAGCACCAGCGCGTCCGCAACGCCAGGTACACGGAGCTTCGCGCGGAAGCCCGCAAAATCCCAAGCAACGTCGGGGCGCCGTGGATCCCGCCCACCAGCCATAAGCGGCGGACGTCGTTCTGGCCCACAAGTCGCGCTTGAAGGGGCCCGCGCCAGCCTGCGACATGGAGGGGCCACGGGAGCGGCGACCGCCGCGTCCGCCGGCGGCTGCATTATTCTCTGCACAGCATCAGAAAGTTCAGTGGAAGACTGATGGTACGCACCATTTGCGGCGCCATTACTTTCGACACCCCTGTTCTCGCGTTGGAAACTGGCCAGGATCCCAGCGCCCAGACATATGGAGGCCCCCGCAAGCATCAGCCCACGCCAACGCAGCGGCGAAAGGGGCGCCAGCTTTTCGCCGACGCAACGCTGGAGAACGCGGGCGGGGCTGGTTTAGCCCCGGCCCGAGCCGGCCCCCCTTTCTACGCGCGCAGGGGGGCCCGCGGCGCGGGGGCGCGAACCATCTCATCATCATCGCACCCTGATACCACGTCGGGTCGGTAGTTGAAGCCGCCCCGCGACGCGCACCAGAAGCGCGATGGGGGCACGGTCTTCACCGCCATGATAACACATTGCTGTTCGGGCCAGATGTTATGGCATAGCTCATTGGACTTCTGGACGTCGACGCAGACCCATATTTCAGACAGCCACCTATAAACGGCTACCTTGACCGTCAGATGGGAGCCACCG